TTTCTTTTCCAGCAGTAGCTTTTGGGGGACTTATGATTTGGGGGACCCTTCTGCTTATGGACACTACTACCTGCGACACATAAACCACCTAACACCCCGACGCATAATATACCAGGACTTGGGGTTAACGAAAAGTACAATTTTAAGACTCCATCGTTTAATCTTCGTACACATCCATCGATGAATATAAATTTGGTTCTGGTTTGCACCAGGCCTCTGGAAAAAGTGTGTTGAGATTTTGTAGCTGCGTGATTTGTCAACATTCCAGCCCCTGATATACACATCGTTTTGACTTCTCTAGTTAAACCGCCCAAACACGTTCAGATGTGTTTTAGCCGCCTTCCCAAATTATTCAACCCAAACCGACAGATGGTTTCAAAAATGTTTTTTTTGGCGATTTTATTCCACAGTCGTTAGACACAGGCGTAAATCATGACGCATGCTGTTATAAAAGTTGCTTTTATTTGTGCTCATGAGGCTGATTTCGACATCAACATATATGCCCCAATAACAGCGAGAGCTTGAAGGATTGTAAGGGCCAGACAACATCCTCCGATTGCTTTTGAGTACTCCTGCAGTGTATTCGTCCACTTCACGCCACAACCCTTAAAAATAGAAACTTGTTGTAAATAATGCATTACTGTGAAGCGAATTACGAGCATTAAAATTCCTAAAAAAATAATTAAGGGACTATAGATATTAGTGCATATAATGTGCATATATCTGAGGCTTTGGAAGATGCTTCTAAATAAACGCAACAGATAAACTTAACCTGTCTAAGTGAGAGTCCTATTAAAGTGTAAATATTCCTAAATTGTTATTTCATAGTAATAAACTTACAACGAAATGAACACCGGGTCTTTTGAGTTCACCCTGACAGGATCATTGACGTTCAAATTTACCTTTCACTGCCTTTATATAATGATTATTTTGCAAAAACAAATCCTACATACAAGTTTCAAACGTGCAAGTAGTCATAGCAACTTTCGTACTTCGCCTGAAAAGTTTTTCCCAAAGCAAAATAATTGCTTAGGAAATTTAAAAAAACGTGAACTGCAAGACTAGTGTCTATACTAGATATTTTAAAAGGAACAGTGGAACACCGCTAGTGACGGAAATCTGTTATGCAGCACCGAAGAGTCGACAAAACACACGGTTGTGTTTTTAACCGGGACCTTATGTAATGCTCATAGGATACTGGTTGCCCGTTGGACACTTTTGAAGATTATGCGGTAAAAATTATGAAAGGCAACGATCATTACCATTTTTGCTTACCTCTGGGTACGCATTCAAGGATGTACATGCGATGGCTCCAGGTTCGCAGCAGGTTTTCGGAATACCGATAGTCGTGTAGTCGTCCGGGCCATTTACTCCGCAGCATTTAGCCTAGGAACCAGGGGTAGATTAAACTTCAAAATCATACCGCAGTTTCAATTGGACCCAACCAAGTGTTTGAAGCTGCGGGATTTTTATTGAAAGCTTTATCCAGCAGATGCAATATAGCAGTAGACAACTGGGAAAGCAAAGAAGTTAACCCTTTTTCAACAGCCTACCTGCGGAGCAACAACCAAAACTGCTATACCGAAAATGAATGCTAGCACTAATAAGAAGATTGTCACTGTTGCAAACTAGAAAGGATGCCATGAGACTAGAAACAAAAAATCTACAATGATAAGAAGGCATTTATTTCTCGTAACTGCACCCGCAAAGCCAAAAGTAGCAACAACTCCGAGGAAAATTCCGACGGCCAGAAAGATTGCAGGTAACCATTTTGCCGCATCACCAAGATCGGGTATCTTTTGCAGTTCCACAATGAGGAAAATGCCAAACCCAGAAAAGCAGATTCCAATGAGCTACAATAAATGCAAAGCGCCATAATTTGATAAACTTGTATAAACCGATAAATAACTAATTGTGGATGAAATATATTACACAACGGCTACCTTCCATTCAAGATATTTCGTACTTCAATTCCACGCAATCTTTAACGAGAATTGGTCAAACTTGTTTTTGCGAAAGAAATTTGTGAATATTTAATATGAAAGCAAGAATTATTTGTTATCAGTAACGCTAAAGATTAGTGCTGAATAACCGATAGGACAATTGTAGAAAACCAGAAAAACTTCACTCCTTAGTGTATAAAATTGAAATTGATAAAATAATAAGTATGTAATCCTTCAAACCAGAATTTTTAATGTTGATTCTCCAAACTGATTTTTCGGAAAGAGCTTAAGAACTGAAGTCATAAAAATAAAATGAAAACCATTATTTATGAAGGAGCAAAATGGTCTGATTGGATGCTCTATGATAAATGGCAAATAGCAATAAACATATGTATATTAAAAGTGGTTCCTTCTAGAAAGGAATTATTTTTGCATAATCTTGTAGTATAAAATGGAGTATTAACTCATCCAACGTTAATTAATTTTTCAAGGCCTTATTTATCTGAAATAACAATGCATTAGCCGTTGTTACAATACACATTAAAAAATCCACAATGATGAAAAAACGCACTTTTACAATTACACTATGTCAAAGTTCTGTGTGGTGGCACTTCCTATGTGTAAACTTGAGTATACCGGAAATTATTTAACTTCTCCATTTATTTTCTTAGCAAGTCGGGCAAAAATTACATCTAATTTCCATTTAAGCACCTTGCTGTTAATAACATGCGTGCTGCAGTAATTGAAATATATTACTTACACCATAGGCGACGCAGAAGCCAAGGACAACAAACTTCAGGAATCCCGCACTAAAGCACATATTTTTGCGCTATTTAAATAACATACCTTTGGCCCAATATATACTCGCCAGCAGTCCGCCCATGTTCTTTAACCATCAAGTGGCTAAATGCAGCTATAGCAACCAATCAGAGTCTGCATTTTCACTCCAGGTCACTAAACTTCAGTCGTGTTTTGAGCAGCAGGTTAGTTTGTTGTGGTTCTGTTCAAACACGCTAGAAAGAATGGATTTCGAGGTCAGGTCAACCACGACGGGGAAAGTTTGTGCAAAGATGGCATGTGCTAACATGTTTCATCTCAGTGAATTATAAAATTATTATATGTAAAAATGGTCTACCTTGCGGATCTAATGGGTCTTTGTGGGTCATTTGCTAATTGGGCGTGCTCCGACCAAAGTGAGAGATCGCCAGTGCGCCGAATTAGGAAATGACATGCCGATTTGAGAGTGGGGCGTCGACGACAGATGTTGCTCGAAACCGTGACAAGGTTAATGCTGCGACTTGTGCAGAGGTGCGGTTGAGGCACCAGACAGAGGGTGTGCTGGGTGCTCTCGTGCACGCGTGCCGGTGACTCGGAACGTGGATGTGAGAGGAAAGGGCGTAGGCGTGGGCGACACATTGCATTTCAGTGAATGATGCTGAGTCAGATGAATCCGTCAATGAAGAGTTTCACTTTTGTCCCATGCTCAAAGATGGGAAAGATTACAGAGCTTGTCAAACGCAACGGAGTTTCATCGAGTTAGCTACAGCAGGGGAGTAAACATTGGGAGAAGATCACGAATTAAGATGCTGCCGGTATTAACAGCATGTGTTGAGAAAAGGGGATAAGACCGAGTGTTGGCTTGGTCGAATGAATGCTTTCACAATATGAGTGGAATCCCGTGGCTGGACAATGTTTAAGACAAAAGTCATAGGCCAATGTCTTGTTCCTATCTGTGGACACGATGAGCGGTTCTGTTCAAACAAGCTAAAAAGAATGGATTTCGAGGTTATGTCAATCACGACGGCTGAAGTTTGTGCCTAGATTACATGGGCTAACATGTTTCATCTCAGTGAAGTATAGAGATCCTTGATTTAAAAATGGTCTATTTTGCAGGTCTAATGGGTTTTTGTGGGTCATTTGACAAGCGGGCGTGCTCCGACACCTTGCGTTTCCGGACAGCATTTGTAAGAAATGTCGAAGGTCTAATTTCTTGCCCGTCATTGCCCCCTCCCCCCTTATCTGTACATAAATGCATTTTAAAGCTTATTTGCTCTTGGTCTTTGCAAACCTACAGTTACACATCTGAAACACGAAAATGAGCAGACGTCTTGGTAATAGCAAACACGTTTAGATGTTCCGTCGCCGTTCTTCGTTTATAAGTACTTTAAATATAGACAAAAACGCAATTTCTGCAAGAAAATCATCAGAGCAACACGAGCCT